ATCAACAGGTAGATATTGGTGAACAACTGTATGACAATCATTGTTTAGGTTCAGTAATAATTTATTATCAATCAGTATGTGGATTTTAATGTTTTCCTGTTAATCAGTAGAACAATTTGTGTATTTTCCCGAACTAATAACAACCAATTACTGGGAATAAAGCGAGAGTAGATTGTCAAACATCTATTACATTTAAATTCATGTTTTTCGATTCAGTTCGTCATTGAACACTGGTTAGTAGTGTAGTCAGAAAGTTACTAGTTAGTTAATGTCATTCCACGGTATCATACAATGAATCATTCAAAATTAAGATTTTCATCATAAATTGGAGTAGTATCTTTTATGAGATAAATTATTAAACAGTTCATCTAGAGACTAATTGCGTGTCTTCTTCATATTTTCTGTTATTGCGTTTAAAGATAGAACTGTGAATCCAAATACATTGGTATGACAGTAAAAATGGATAAAACATTGTGACTTTTTAGTGCATTTGAAATTGCTTTTGCCTGGAAGGAATAAAAACGTTAGGCGTCGTAATATTTTGTAGACACATTATTATGTAAGCAAATCTCACTTACATAGCTTCAAATGCTAGGGCGTTGTCCATAAGGAGACTGAGATAAAGGAGTGAATAACTTATCTATTGAACATAAGATTTTATGCATTGATTTGAATTTTCTCATTGGTGGTGTTAATGTCTAAGATAGTAGAGTTTAAAGTCATTGGCACTGAGTTCGAGTTTCAGTAGGAACAACATTTGAACATCATTAGGTCCACCAGGTGAGTTTGAGATAGGGTGAAACACTCATTAAGAAATCCATTTGATACATTGACAACTCGTTCACTATAAACAAATCAACTTCTTATCTATGATTAATAGAGATACACGTACTTCGTGTGTATAGTTTGTAATATGATTAGTAATTGAGATAATGTTGAATAAGTCACTCATTAAAATCTATCAGGGACTTATTTGATTTGAAGAAGCAAAATATCTGGACGTTAAGTGGTTTTGTAGCGGTAAATAAATCCTCAGAATAAATAGTTCTATAAGTTATCGATATTTGATGCTCACCACATTGGTTTTAACGGACACATCTTGCTGAAGGCGCTCAGTCACACATCCACACCAAATCACGAGTGTGTATGTCGTGTTATGCATCTACTACAAACTCTTTCCTCTAGGGATATTTGTAGACTCTTGACAGTAATGATAAACATTTCAGTACTGGGAATTCATCATTGTTGTCAACCATAGAGCACTGCATAAAACAAGCATCACTCTTACCACCATTATGTTTGTCGCCATTCAACTTCATTATATTGGTCACTTGTTCTCAAATTTATCTCTGTATATGTGAAATAATTGTCGAATGGATAGTTAGTTTTCGTTACCTTTAAGAATGAATCGATTTCAATCTGTGACATTCATGTTGATTATCTCTCTATGCTGAATCTATAAGCATTTAATTGGTGAATGAGATTAATAATTTAACAATTCACCAGAATTATTCATTGGATATTGGCTTACAAATGAGTCATTTATGTTATCAGTCCCGAACATATATCAATCCAATGAATAACTTCTCAGACCTTTAAGGCTGGATAGCATGAGTTTCAACCCTACAGGAAGTTTAAATGCCTCTTAAGATTATAGATATATTCTATAGAAAAGTTCCAACTTAATGAGACTTCAATCCAGGCTTTTCTGTTGACTACATCCAACCTCCTGAAAATTGACTTTAAGTCACACTATTTGTGTGAAAGCTTGTGATTAACACTAGAAGTCAACTCCATAAATCAAATGAAAGACAAGTCAGTATTCACACTCGCGACATATGTAGAATCATTCTTTGTTTTTAATGATTTAAATGATCTCGCTGTTGGTATTTTGACTGAAATTTGATCAGTCTTAGCTCGCATATATGTATCGTATGTGGACTGCCTCGAACACCAACTTTGGGATGCAGGTACCTTCAGCTGACGAGCCCCCAAGTAGGACAAAACGGACGTCCTAGATTCTACTGCTGGTCAGATTCTGTCTACTTTATATAGTATTCTACTGTTCATATTTCGATTAAAGTAATAATATTCTTTACTTGTTTTTGTTATTCTTTTTCTCCAGATTGGTGATTATGTAGGTTGTGCACTTGTTGAATGTGTTCCAGGTTCTTTAGGTGATGGGTCATCTGGATGACTTCCACTTGGTCCACCACCACCATCAACAACAACTGGATCTTGATCCACGTGGTTCCGCACTCGAAAAAGCACGAATGATATGACCATTTTTGATGAATATAAAATATCGTTTGTGAAATGTTTGCCTCTATCTATTTGTTTATTTTTTCTTGTAAATAAAATACTTATTGATTGTATTACATTTGTTTTAGTACTTGTTCTGAGTTTACGCGTTCTGTTTGCAGTTAGCGTTGTTTAAACTTATTTGTTACCATTGATTAATCACTGATTAGTGACCAAAGTCATGCTCATTTAGTCATATAATGCTAGTGATCGATGAGTGACAATATAGCCACTTGCCTAAGGGATCCATCATCATACGCACCTTGTTTTGATGTTAAATGTTTAGAGGTAGTCTTATGGGAAACCCTTTACAGAAATAGGAAAACTATGACACATTGATCAATACTAAGTGGTCAATGAATGTTAGTGTTCAATTCCCTGGTGGGTTGATCGCTCCAATATAGTGCAATGGTTAACACCTCAGACTACGGAAGTAGGTTATGCGGGCTAAAATTCTATAGAGAATGTCACTTGCCTCAAAATTAATGATAAGTGACAACTAACACGAGAGGTAGGTCCAGGATTTCCTGCCAACTAATTAATATTCATGTTTAGATGTGGTTGAAAGATACAACAACTCTCCTGTAGTGGATTCTTTAAGATCCACGTGATTATCGTAACCAATTGTCTAAAACTCGTGAACTGCAAACTCGAGAAAATCAGGCTGGCTTCAAACCTGGTTGTGGCTGCATCGACCACATATTCACTATTCGTTAGGTTCTAGAACACAGACATACTTATCAGCGTCCGACAATGGTGGTCTTACTTGACTTAAAAGCAGCATTTAACTCTATAGACCGAGAGGTTCTGTGGCAGTGTCTGTCATTGAAAGGTGTACCTCATAAGTACATAAACCTTGTGAAGGCTCTTTGCTCAAACACTACCGTTCGGGTGAGAGCTTATAGCGAACTGTCACCTGATTTTACAACCTCAAGTGGTGTCCAGCAAGACTGTCCACTATCCCCATTTTTGTTTAACTTCATTATAGACCTGTTGCTGGAAATAACACTCGTCGATTGAGTTTTCAGGAATTGATCTTAGAATAAGCAGATGACATAGTCCTGTTTGATGAAGACAGTGATAAAATGAAGTCTTTTGGTATCACTGAACAACAATGCCAGGATGTTTTGTAATGCGTTTCTCCCCCTCTAAATGTAAATTGTTACTCCAGGACTGGCCTGCGTCAACACGTGAACTAAGGATAGAGAGTGAAGTATTCGAACGCATCGACACTCTCGCTTACGTTGGGTATTAGGGAATGATGGTAAATCAGTTGGTGAGGTCATGAATCTTCATCGACTGAGATGGTTGGGCCACGTTTAACATATACCCAACCATTGATTACCGCGACGTACTATGCTGACCAGTATTGGCAAGAAAGAAAGTTAGGGGTGGCCAAACCAAAACATGGCATCAGTCCTTGAAGTCACTAACTTCTAGTCTGAGCCATGTTGGTAGATGCAAACTACTTGGTTGGGGTCCGTGTGACTATCGTAACCAATGGTTGGAGACTGGGTGACATGGCGCAGGTTTATACACTTTTTATCTTTCCTTAAACTATGAGATTAAAATTGCTTCATATCTTTCTTCCTGTACTATATCCTTATATAAAATCTTTTATATATTATCACCTTCTATTCTAGTTCTATCCAGTTGTTCATTCTCATGTTGGTCTCCAGTTCTCTGTGTAATGTGTTCTTTGGTCTTCCTTTTCTCCTTTGACCTTTAAAATTCCATGTGAGGGCTTGTCTTGTAACGCATTTGGGTGATTACCTCAATGTGTATCCTATCCACTTCCAGCACTTCTTCCTCCGCTGAAATCTGGTTTGTTTTCTCCCACATTAGGCTGTTGCTGATAGTGTCTGGTCAACAGATCCGGAGTATTTTGCGTAGACAACTGCTGATAAACACTTGTCTTTTCTGGATGATGGCTTTCGTATTTCTCCAAGTTTCCACCTCATGCAGTAGAAGTCTTGACATTTCTAACGAAAATTCAGACTTTGGTGTTGGTTAACAGTTGTTTTGAGTTCCAGATGTTCTTCAGTTGTAAACGTGCTGCTCTTGCCTTACCAATCTGCGTCTTCACATTTAGATCAGCTCCACCGTGTTCATCAATGATGCTGCCCAGATATGTAAGTGATTTCACATCCTCCAAAGCTTCCCCATTAAATGTGATTGGATTGATGCATATTGTGTTGTATCGGAGAATTCTGCTTTTCCCTTTGTGTATGTTGAGATCTACTGCTGCTACACTGGCCGTCTTCTACATTTGTTGTTGCGTTTGTGATAGAAGAGCCAGATCATCTGCGATGTCTAAATCGTCCAGCTGCATCCTAGCAGTACATTGTATCCCATGCTTCCCTCCAGATGTTGATGTCTTCATAATCCAGTCGATCATCAGGAGAAAGAGAAAGGTTGAGAGTAAGCAACCCTGCCTGACACCAGTCGTTACCTCGAACGTGTCAGTGAGCTGTCCTCCTTGCACGATCTTGCAGTTTAAGCCATCATAGGAATTCCGTATGATATTGACTATCTTCTCAGGCACGCCGTAGCGTCGAATAAGCCTTCATAGTGTTGTCCTATCCACGCTATCAAACGCTTTCTCGTAGTCATCGAAGTTGATGTAGAGTAGTTATAGATGAAATCAAACTAAATTTAAATGAGCTACCATCAAACTTTTGCACAGAAACCAAAACTCAATGATGGATTTTGTTTGTATCATATTAAAAAGTAAGTAAGAAATAAGTAAAATTGATCAATATCTAACTGGTAAGTTGTCTAAATTTAGTCAATAAATTGATTAGTTCGTCATGGAAAAACCAAATGGAACTAGAATCCATGTAACATTCTGACATGTTTTATTTATTTTTTAAGGTAATTTGAGGGTAGAAATCAAGGAACTGCCCTCCATTTCTATTCATCAATTTGGTTACAAAGAATTCTCCCTTTCTATCATCAACTCTACCATTAGTTCTTATCCAGATGCCTAACTGTCTATCACTTACATCCATATGTAGTGCTAATGGGTTCTAAATCACAATGAAGCAGCTGTCCAATATTTCTGTTGTCATTTTACCCACTTCTGATATCAGTTTAGCCTTCTGTTTTACTGAAACAAGTATAATGAATCTTTGCTTATAAAGTCAAAACAAGCTGGTCATTTGATAATTTCACAAGTTTATTTTATAACAGCTCAAACATAACTAACGATTGCTTTGATCAAATGATATAGTGTTAAATTGTTTCATGTAATCAACGAGTAGTCCTGAATAGGGATTTCCTTGTTAGTATTCATTCGTTCAGTTTGTGTATGAAATATTGGGATGCATATTATGGTTGTAGTAATTTGATACTACAACCCCGTTAATTCATAAGAGGGCATAAACCTAGGCCGATAAACATATACTGTTAAGGTATAAGAATGTTGAAAGTTGTGGATGCTAACATCATCTACTGAGAACATTAAATGTGTGTGTCCTGTTAAGATTCGTCTGTTTGGTAGGTTTTTCATTCGTTCTAATTGATCTTAACCAACTATATCTACTGAAGTCTTCAATGTCTATACGGATTTTAATGCAACGAAACGAAATTCCTAGATAAACCATAGAAGTTTAGTGATGACTTGAAGTAAACACAGTAGTATGCCTCGAAGAATAGGTCTTATCATTTACAGTTCTTCATGGAAGCCAGTATCGCTAGGATTTTCAAAGCTGATTCACTTTTTTATAGGTACCAATACCAAGGTTATACTTGATAGTTTCAAATAAATTGAGTATTAGGTAGAGAGTTAATAATCAATATATTTTTTTGTTATATTCCAACGAGTAAAGGGATTGTATCAAATTCGGTCATTCATTTACTCTGAAGAAGTGGCCTACATTAAGTCACAAAACGTCAGAAGTGTAATTTTTCTACTCATTTAGTTCTAACAAAAAATTTACTAATCCACTTTTGTTTTACTTGAAAGTATATACTGCTCATTAGTAGTTGAAGCATAATTTACAATCACTAAATAGTTATCAATATCATGTTTACCTGTACGTAAGTGGTTATCCAGTTCATTCAACGAAGTTCCAGTGTAAAAACTAGTCTAAGTGACTTGATATCGACACTTGAACTCTAAATATAGTGCAAACAATCTGAAAATTTTCTATGAAAATTAAGACCATACTTGGGGCATTGTTCCATCAAGTCAGAAGATTCTCCTTACTGGTGAGTGCCGACTCTTTTGAAACCAAAGCCTAGAAATCCCTGCTTACTGTCTCTAGCTAGAAAACACCAACAATTAATTACAGATGTTACTGACAATAATTTTAGCTACACTCAATGTGTGAATACTAGAATAAATCTTAATTGAACAGGGTAGAGAGTACAATGCAACTCATTTAGTTGAGATGAAGTTTCCTGAGCTAGATAAGTTGAGAACGAAGACCTCTTCATTTTGGATAACAGGAACTTAGCAACATGAGCGCCTCACATGAAACTCGAACCTAGTATCACTGCATAAGATATTGCCAACATTTATTAACACGACAGCCTCTACTGACGCAAATGTCAAATTATCTCATTTCTCTTATGTTTCTTTTTTACCACAAGTGAAAAGTAGTATGTCTAAAGAAGAAAAGTGGTTTCATCCAAGCAAATTACCACCAAGTGATTACCAATCCAATATTATTCAAGATCATAATAGCAAATCATTTTATCCATTCCATACTGAACTGGGTTATAGAATTTTTAAAAGAATAATAGAAATGAAACGAACAAGTATAGAACAGCAAAATAATGAAGAAATTCCATATCATTCAAAATATGTTAATCAAATGAATAAAGATAAGTATTTCTCTTTGAAACAAGATGTTTGTTCACAGAAACCTAACTTAAGTAAGTAATTAACCATACATATAAAGATTGAATTGTATAATAATGTTAAAGACTCAATGATTACTTGTTTGAAGTGTGCAGAATATTCAGAATCACTGTAAGCAAAGATGGATAGTGGATAGCAGTGGAATCCAGTTTGATGCGCTTCTCAAAGTCAATGTTCGCTCTGGGACTCGAACCCAGTACCTTTCTCTTCAAACGCTATCGCGTGATCCACTCAGCTACTGAGTCCTGATAGCCACTTGTTTGTGCAGTAGGGGTAAATTCAGAATCACTGTTTATTAATGTTGAGTAATGTAGCACAAATTGTTCGGAGTGACTAAATGGTATTCATGGATTATCTTTCTGGCAATCATGAGTTATATATCATCCAAACGTTCATGTTTTTTTAGTTTCTTCTTCATGTATATATTCAAAGATTTGTATTTTTCTGTTTTTTTATATTAAGGGCTGTAATTAATTAGTCGGGAAGCATCTCCCAAATATCACTGTTAGTAATCTTCCAAATGTACGAAAACTTATGACTGTTACGTTTTGAGAAAGGTTGATTTGCTATAGCTAGAGAGTTTAACTGGTTACACGCACTGTATTGCCAGTTGAACTAGTAAGCTAAATGAAGCCTACAAATATTTGGTCACTTAATTGCTGAATACTGGCAGATAAGAAGACTAAGTAATAAAGATCGGGATTTCCGAATTGTTTTACTGTGGTCTAAAGATTCATGGTAAGAAGAATGAAAGAACTAACTAGTTGAGTATTCATTTAGGTGATTACAATTCTTTTAAATTTCTAACCTTGACTCCTAATCCTAGATCTTAATCCAGTTCACAACATTGACCAATTCAGACTTTTATTACGTAAGTTATTGATTTGTATTACCTGCATAATGACTATTGTATGAATTCATATCATTAAGTTTGCATCCACCAATATAGTGGGTAACGAGTAATTACCACCTTCATAAGTGTCCGAATCTGTAACTGATTTATTGAATACAACTTTATATAAATGTAAATTGGAGTGACATTGTTTTTGTGACTAATAATGATACTATACGGTTCCCTAAACTGAAGTGATTGATTTTCATTACTAAGTTAATAATGAATCTGTTACTTTAAGATCTTGTGGTCAGAAAGTCTCAATTACAACCAGGTAGAGTCCGTTGATCTATTTAGCAAACATAATCAAATCTTCTTACTCATCATGAGACTTCAGTTATTTGTTGTTTCTTTAAAGAAATTGTATTCCACTGGAATATATTGGATTATAATCCAGTCCATATTAGTTGTTAAGCAGTTCTTCGATTAGGTTTTGATTCTTAATTTAAAAAAAAAACAAGTTTTTATCAGTATAAGTATTTGTGGGAACAGTAGCATTTTCACCATTGAATTCATGAGTCGATTTAATTGGAGTTCAATGCATGTTGGGTATGAAACAGTTACCTACCTCAGACAATGGGTGAACGGTTGTGAAATATTGTGGAGTGGTTGAAGTTAGACATTAACACCACTGGATGACAACTCAGTGATCTAGAGATTGAGCGTTTAAGCGCGAGACTTGGAAGCGGGATCATGGATGTGCACACCTGCGGAGTTCCATACAAGGACGAGACTGCCGTCCATTGCTTCCAGGTTTTCACTTTTGGTCTAGCTTAGATTGACTTGTAAATTCAACAGTGAAGACAAAATTTATTTCTAAAAATCGCCACATCCGATTTTTTGTTTACTGTTTTGTCTATATTCCTAGTTCCATCGAATTCAACATTGAATCAATTTGGATCCATGGAAAATATGCCAAAATTTCATTTAACTTTAAAATGTGATATTGATGATATGGATGAATCGTAGTTTGTGTGGTATTTGTGTTCTGAAAGCAAATCATTGTAACATTATGTTGAGTACATTGTGTTACGTTAAATCAATACTCATTATAATGTTTTGAAATGTATTTCCTTCTTTCTTTCTTCTTAAAGTATATTGACAAATGTAAACAGGTTTAGGATTGATTTTGCGACTAATTCAAAACGCTACCACATATATTGAGTGCCTTTTGAAGAAGTGAGTAAAACCTTGCTTACCTACTTACTCCAGTTGCACCTCGTGTAGGAGCACAGGCCACCACCAACCAGCGTTCTCCATCGAACTCTGTCCTGGATAATCCTTTTCAGTTGCTTTTCATCCTACTGATATCTGCTCTCAATTCTCCATGAAGTATGTTTTTTGGCCTTCCTCTTCTCCTTCCGCCCAAGGGATTACAAGTTAGCGCTCTCTTCATAATGCAGTTTGATGATTTCCTCAAAGTGTGTCCTATCCACTTCCAACGTCTTTTCCTATTTTCTATTACAGATAGAAGCTGTCATGTTTTCTCCCATAGTAGGCTGTTGCTGATTGTATCCGAACAACGGATGTTAAGTATTATGCGTGGACGATTGTTTGTGAATACTTTTACATCTATGACGATGATTCAAGTAGCCCTTGAAGTTTCAGCTCCGTAAAAAGGAACTATCTTGACGTTATTATACGGTAAATTATTGAACAATTCTTCTGTAACTTAATAAGCGTCTTCTTCATATTCACTCTTATTGTGTTTATGAATATACCTGCCAATCGAATTACAATGGTATGACAGTAAAGATGGATAAAATATTTTAACAGTTGAATATATTCGAAAATGTTTTTACTTGGAAGGAATAAAATCGTTAGGCAGCTTAATATTTTGTACACACACAGGTCAGGTAATAGTTGTGTTCTTCATTGTTAAATGTGTGACCATATCAATAAGATATTTGCTCTAAAATGTTTTCACTAAATTTGATTACGCAACTATGATGATTTTTTAAAATGTGAAACTCACTGACAGATTTCAAAATTCTAATTATCAAATGAGGTTAGGTAATAATCAAAATGATCGAGAAGAATTACGGTTACTTAAGCCTGTTACCCCTCGTCAAGGTGCATAGACCAACTACTGACACTCTCCATCCAACTCTGTCATGGGCAATCTTTTCTAGTTCTTTCTAGTTGCTATTCATTATTTTCTTTTCTGCATCCAATTTTCAACTCACTGTATTCTCCGTCCTTCCTCTTTCCATATTCCCCTCAGGATTACAAGTTAGCATTTTCCTCATGATACAGTTCATTGATTTCCTCAATGTATGTCCTATTCACTTCCAACATCTTTTCCTAATTTCTTCTTCAGATGGAAGCTGATTTGTTTTCTTCTACAGTAGGCTGTTATTGATGATATCCAACCAACGGATATTGAATATCATGTATAAATACTTGTACCTTTCTGATGATGGTTCTGATAGTTCCCGTTTCATCTTCATAGAGTAGAACTGACTTGACACTCTTATAGAAGATTCTCACTGTACTAAATACAAAATTATATTTACTTATCAAAAACAAAACTGATAGTAAGACCATTGATATGTTCATGTTAATAAGCTGGAATTGCTTCATAAAAAGCAAGCTAATACATGCAGTGATATTTGATATTAACCATGATTTACATTGAAAGGTATTGTGGTGTGTGCTACTTATATCAACATAAGTAATATATATATCGCGAGTCAGGAATAGAATGTCTGACAGCGGAAGATTAAGAAGAGAAGAACGTGAACAGAATGTAATTGCTATGGAAATACAGAAACATAGAGGTCTGAAACGATTGACTGATATTTGCAAACAAATCAGTCAAATTTATGATCATTGATTAACATTTTGGAAATGAAGTATTGACTGAATGATTCTTAGATTATATTAAGATGTTCTGTAATTTTGTATTCAATTACATTCAATTGTCTCCATTTGTATTCTCGTTCACTACTATAGTAGTAAGTGATAAAATAAAGGGGAAACAACTTTTAAGTCATCTAAACATAGCTTAATTCAAGATTCATTAAATCACTATAATGACGAAACAATCTGACACGATATTTAGTCTTTGATAAATCATTTACTCAGTCTCTAAAACATTTCTTAAATTTAACTATTAGCATATATACATCCTGTGCTTAATGCCTCGATATTGTCTTAAGTCACAAGTTTTTCTTAGGCAAAGATGAATAGTGGCTAGTAATGGAATTCACGACACACATTTCGTCCTATTCGGGACTCATCAGTTGCATGTGTCTGTGATGCAGGTACACCCAGCTGACGTATCACATATGTGGTGAAACGCGCGTCCTTAATTCCAGTGCTAGCCACCATCTATATTCGCTTGTTTATGTATTGATTATGACTATGTAGTGTAGAAATAAATTTGAACATTTATCCTTTATGAAGTAATCAGGTATTAGATTTATACACGACGAATGCTTCTTCCAGCCATATGGAATAGTGAAACCTAGTAGGCCCTTGTGGAGAAGAGTGCTACATCGAAGCACTGAATAACTACTGGGGGGGTGTAAAGTGAGATCGATAAGGGAACACACCAATGATAAGTGAAACGCTCACCACCGCACTAAATCCTTTGACCTTGTATGACTGTCTTTGTTTTATCCACCAATCACAGTTTTATGTTCATTCTAACACAATATTCTCCCCTTTGACTCATTTTTCCTATTCTCCAGTTACTGTTCGAAACAGATAAAGTTTATTAAGCCAAATAGCTTACTTGTTTTGACTTTGGCGAAACCAAGACTCTGTATTCGACAGTTTAGAGAATAGCTTAAAGTTACCCCTATAGGAAATTGCTTCCTACAAAGTTTCGAACAGTAAACTTCGATATACTTACTGAAATGGCTTCTAATAAATACTACGATCCCGATGATATTCCAGAGTTATCACCCCATCGCCTGGGAGTTTATGATGAGGACCAACTTGAAAAGGACAAACCCGAAACTAATAGCATGATAGAATTAGAGTTAGCTAGACTACGTATAGCTCAGTTAGAAAAAGAAATTGAGTTAGAAAAGTTACGTCGCCAGGGAAGTGAGGGTTTCGGTCGATCAATAAACAACAGCGAGGATGTAATATTAAAAAATCTGTATTTACCAAAAAGGGAAATCTTAAGATTCGATGGTACACCAATAAATTACTGGAATTTTATTAGAATTTTCGAGGAATGCATCGGATGCGAGAATATTGGATTTAGAGCTAAACTAAATTACTTGATTCAATATTGTGACGGCGAAGCGAAAGCCGCCATTCTTCATTGTGCTATACTAGAACCAGAAATAGGCTATCATCAAGCCTTAAAGCTTTTAGAAGAAACCTTTGATCAAAAGCACGTAATAGCACGCACGTTCATCGACAACTTGCTAAATTTTCTTAATATAAAAAGGAACCAACCAGATGGTTTAAGAAAATTGTCCCGTGAAATGCAAGCATGCTGTTTGACTCTCGAACAAATGAATTACGTTTCCGACCTGAACTCTACCAGAACTATTGAAGCTATGGTTCTGAAATTACCGACGCATGTTCAACAAAAGTGGTTAAAGACAGCTTATAAGATTATCATAGCAGGTCGTGAGCCTCTGTTCGCCGACCTTACTGCCGATATGGCTAATACTCGATATGGGTTACTCGTCAACCGTGGTAGTAATAGTGACAATAGGGATATTGGGGTTCTAAAGGGGAGATGTAATGCAGATTACAGTGCAGCAAGGATATCTTATATGAGTAGCGATGATGACAATGTCCACTTACGTAGTTCATCCTGTTTAGAGTGCTCAGGTGATCATTCCTTAGATCAATGTCAGAAGTTTAAAGACAAAAGTGTTACAGAAAGGAAAGAATTCGTTCTTAGACACAAGTTATGTAATGTTTGTCTGAAGGCTAACCTTATAGTGAAAAACTGTCGATCACCGAGGTCGTGCGATGTTAAAGGATGCGGTTGGAGACACCATACCCTGTTACACAGGAAGCAGGTAGAACAGAGAGACGGCAGTAGTGGTGCCTGCATTAATACCCAGTTCTGTACGGACGTATATGTTAAGCATACACGGAGTCCAGTAGCATTTGCAGTGGTGCCTGTATGGTTAAAAAATGGTGAGATTATTCAAACTTGCGCCTTGCTAGATAGTGGGTCAGATACGTCCCTCATTCTTGATGATCTGGCTAAGGAGTTAAACCTCGAGGGAAAACCAAAAACGGTGTATTTAAAAACTCTTAGTAATGAATCGTCGTTGATATCCAAGGAGGTTGATGTTGAGTTGCACTCGATAGATTTTTCGTCATCTGTTAAGGTGCAGAAAGTGTTGACAGTCAAAAAACTACCGTCGGTTCACAGGACTGTACCAACGGCAAATCAAATGGCAACCTGGTCTCATTTAAAAGATATAAGTTTTCCGAGAGTAAAAAACGAGAATGTCAAACTGTTGATTGGGTGTAATGTACCGAATGTACACGAGATGAAGGAGATAAGAACCGGAAACACGAATGAACCGTCTGCCGTGAGAACTTTATTAGGTTGGACGTTGTTCGGTCCCTACGGGGAACTTCATGGAAAAAAACGTGTACTTAATTACCTCTCAGATAAAGAGTAATTAGAGGATAAGTTTGAACAATTGTACTCAACTGAATTCAAAAATCCATTTAGTTGTACTACGCCGATGGCTGTAGAAGACCGTATAGCACTCAAAGCTATATCAAATTCAGTGCAAAGGTTAAATTGGCACTATCAAATAGCTCTGCCTTGGAGGCACGAATACAAGTTACCTAATAATAAGAAATTAGCAGAACGTAGACTTAGCTGTTTAAAAGGTCGATTTATTCGGGATACGAAGTTCCTACAAGACTATACGAGCACTATGACTCAGTATATAGAACGAGATTATGCCGAAAAGGTAAACGATAATCACGTTGATGGACGAATTTGGTATCTTCCTCATCACCCTGTCTTT